CCTGAGTTCAATTCCCAGCACCAAAAAAAAGGGAAAAATGGGGCTGGGGATTTAGCTCAGCAGCACAGCGCCTGCCTAGCAAGTGCAAGGTCGTGAGTTCAATTCCTGGTACGGAAAAAAAAAAAAAAAGGAAGAAAAATGGAAATAGGACTTTTGAAAATGGGGAGGGGAAAGAAAGCCTGGAGGAAAGGGAGAAGGGAACCAAAAAAAAAAAAAAAAAAGAATTAAAATGTGTTGCACACAAACGCCCCAGGACAAATATGAGCATTATATCCTGCAAACATGCTGATTTTAAAAAACTCTGACAGGGGCTGGGGATTTAGCTCAGCGGCACAGCGCCTGCCTGGCAAGCACAAGGTCCTGAGTTCGATCCCCGGTAGGGCAGGGAGGGGCGGGGTGGGGGGGATGACGACTGACAGCCAAAGTGGCTGAGACCTGGCTGGTGGTGCAAGCCTGTAATCCCAGCACTCGGGAGGATCACTGTGATTTCAAGGCCAGCCTGGGCTACATCGTAAGTCCAAGGCCAGCTTAGAGTACACAGGAGGCCGTCTCAAAAAGACAGGAGAGGAAATAAAAAGAAGGAAAGGTGGCTGTGAAGATCATTGTCTTTCTACCCAACATGCATCCCCCAAGCATCCCTGCACCTGTCTCAATCAAGAAGGGTGAAGTCCAGGTATTAGTATCAAGGTTTCATACTTAGCAGAGAGTGGTGGCACATGCTCCCAAAACTCAGGAAACTGAGGCAAGAAGGCTGCTGTGAGTTCAAAGCCATCCTGAGCTAGAGACCCTGTCTAAAATTTAAAAAAAAAAAAAAAAAAAAAGTTCCACATTTATATGGAAAACTCCATAGAAGCATTTATTTCCCCAGAAACACCCCCTTGGAGGCTTTCCTTAAAAATTCTAAAAGTTGGGCGTGGTAGCACACTCCTAGCACTCAGGAGGCTGAGGCAGGAGGATATATGCAAAACTGCAAGTTTGAGACCAGCGTGGGCTACAAGTTGAGCTCAAGGCCAGCCTGAACTGCATAGAGAGACCCTGTCTCAAAAAAAAAAAAACATGCACTAGCGGTGGTGCACATGTGCAATCCCAGCACTGGAGAGTCTGATGCAGGAGGCTCGATGAGGTTCAAGGCCAGCCTGGGCTACACAGTGAGTTCAAGGCCAGCCTGAACTGAACTGCATAGTGAAACCTGGTCTCAAAAGAGAGAAAAAAAAAACTAACATGCCACATGAGATGGTAGATACTTGTAAGTGCAGCTACTCAGAAGGCTGAGGCAGAAAGACCCACAGAGGGCTGCACGAGTGTTCCTCATGGTGGTGGGTTATCTTAACTGTGACCAAGTCAATATCCTGGCTGTGGGGCCCAGGGATACAGCTCTGCTGAAAGGTGCCTGCCTGGCAAGCGCAAGGTCCTGAGTTCTATTCCTGGTTCAAAAAGAAAAACTAGGGGCTGGGGATTTAGCTCAGCGGCAAAAGCGCCTGCCTGGCAAGCACAAGGTCGTGAGTTCGGTTCCCGGTACCGGAGAAAAACCAAAAAGAAAAACTATCCTGTGATACTACTATACTCCTGCTCTCCAAGCTTAATACCATTGGGAGAAGTAGGGTAAAGGGTACATGTCACATCTCTATTATAACTTCACATGAACGTGCAATTATCTCAATGTAAAAATGTTAATTTAAGGCAGGGGGCTGGGGCTTTAGCTCAGCAGCACAGCCCCTGCCTGGCAAGCACAAGGTCGTGAGTTCAATTCCTGGTACCGGGGGAAAAAAAAAAAAAGTTTTAAGGCAGGCATGGTTGCTCACACCTGTAATGCCAGTACTCAGGGAGGCTGAGGCAGGAGGACTGCCATGACTTCAAGGCCAACCTGAGCTACACAATAAATTCAAGACCAGCCTGGGCTACATAGTGAGTTCAAGGCAAACCTGAACTGCAGTGAGGGCCTGTCTCAAAATACAACAAAAGCCGGGTGTGGTGGCACATGCCTGTGGCCTGTAATCCCTGCACTCACTCATAATCCCAGCACTTGGGGAGGCTGAGGCAGTACGATCATGGATCGTTGTGAGTTCAAGACCAGCCTGGGCTACAAAGTGAGCTCAAGGCCAACCTAAACTGCACAGTGAGACTCTGTCTCAAAAAGACAATAAAATAAAATAAAATAAAATAAAATAAAATAAAATAAAATAAAATAAAATAAAATAAAATAAAATAAAATAAAATAAATTAAAACCACAGGGATAGTTCAGTGGTAGCGTGCCCTGGATTTGACCTCCAGGCCCACAAAGGGGAAAAAAAAAAAACTACTAAGGCTGGAGGTATACTTGAATGGTACAGTACAGTCTAGCATGCACAAGGCACCACCAATAAAAACAAAAGGGCCAGATGGGGCTGGGGATTTACTCAGCGGCAAAGTGCCTGCCTGACAAGCGCAAGGTCCTGAGTTCAGTTCCCGGTACCGGAGAAAAACAAAAACAAAAAAAAACCAAAAGGGCCAGGTGTGGTGGTGCACATCGGTAATCCCTGCACTGAGGAAGGCTGAGGCAGGAGGATCACCAGGACTCCAGGGCCAGCTTGAGATACATGGCAAGTTCAAGGCTGGCCTGAACTACACAGTGAGACCCTTTCTCAAGGGGTGGGGAAACAAAAAAAGAGAATAGTCAGGCACAATGGCAGCATAGTCCAGGCCTTGAGGAGGCTACTGAGACCACAAGACTAGACCACCCTGGGCACAAAACAGCACAAAGCAAGACTGGAGGGGCTGGAGGTGCGGTTCAACTATAAATTAATTGTCCAGCACACATGAGGCCCTGGGTTCAACCCCCAGCACCACACGCATGCACACACAAACACATATGCAAGCAAGCACAGAAAAGATAAAATTTTTTCCCTGCTGGCAAGAAGACTACCAGGCCTGCACAACAAATTCACACTGCAGACGCCCTTAAATGGTTTAAGAACTACAAGAACAAACTTACAAAAATACCATTTACAGGCCACATTTTCTACTCTCAAAATGAAAAATGTCAAGTCTCATGGGCAAGAAGACAATGCTGGACAAGAAAAATTCTGACCTTGAATCTTAACTGCCTATTTTATTAAAGAGGAAGAGGAGGTGGAGAAAAAGAGATGGAGATGAGGGAGTGGCACAGAAAAGGTGAGACAATCCCCTTATAACCTATGACTCTACTCTACAGACTATAGAGATTTACCCAGATCGGGAGAGCAGGCAAGGGCAGCTCAAAGTCCCTCAGCAAAGGCAACACTGGACAAAGCAGAAGATAAACTGGGAGTTACTTTTCCCTTGCCACCCTGAGTAGGCCCATGGGTCAGGGTCTGTTGTGTGCAGCCGTGACAGACCCTGTGTGTACCAGACACCTGGCCTCCACACACGAGATGCCAGTGGACCTCTCCAGTTACAACCATTAACGTCTGCAGACAGTGCTGGAAGTCCCCTCTGAGGCAATGATGTCCCCAGGTGAAACTTCTGTTGTAGGTTCTCTTCCCTCAAGCTAGATGGAGCAAGCAAAGTCACACAACAAAAAGCAGTACCAGAAACAGGTGAACCGCTGTGAGACACGACCCACTGCCTTCCACAGCGCTCCCACCTCTCTCTGTGCTCATGCTCCACCCTCCCCAATACTCTAGGGAAGACACTCCTACCAACAAATGGAGTTGTCTCCTTTCTGAAGGCTGCACAGTTGGGGGTTGGGGATGTAACTCAGTGGCACAAGCACTTGCCTGGCAAGTGCAAGGTCCTTAGTTTGATTCCTAGCACCAAAAAAAAAAAAAAAAAAAAACCTGAAGTACATCCCATGCCTTTTTTTTTTTTCCATCCACCCCCAGCCTTTTATATTGAGACAACATCTCAGTAGCTGCCCAGGCTGGGCTCAAATAGTCCTGCCTCAGCTTTCCAGAGTGCTGAGATTATAGGTATGCACCACCATGCCTAGCTGTTCAACATTTTTCACCTACAGCTGGGCCTGGTAGCACATGCTCATAATCCCAGCACTTGGAAGGCTGGGATCACTGGGAGTTCAAAGCCAGCCTGGGCTACAAAGTGAGTTCAAGGCTAACCTGACCTGGATAGTGAAACCCTGTCTCAAAAAGAGCTCCCCCACCCGCCCCAAAAAATCTATAGTTTTACTTCCCATGAACTACAGCATGTATATACATCCTTTGTACATTTTCCCACCCAACAGGCCACCCCTGCTGGCCTTTGTTAATTTTGACCGAATTGTACAAAGGTTTACTGAGATCATTTCAGGCTAAGTCTTCCAATATTTACTCTTTTAACACAAGGATGCCCACCAATGCTGAAAAACCCCAATAAACTGACAATGCTTCTAGGAGGTATCACTGCATACAGCCAGTGCTTCTTTTTTTTTGAGACAGGGTCTTTCTAAGCACTTCAGGCGGGCCTTGAACTTACTTTGAGCCAAGGCTGGCCTCAAACTCACAATGATCCTCCCGCCTTAGCCTCCCGCCTCAGCCTCCCGAGTGCTAGGATTACAGGCTTACAGGTGTGAGACACCATACCCGCTAGCCAGTGCTTCTTCGTGATACCAGGCTTACAACTCAAATGCTGAACTAAGTACAGAAAAGGAACAAGCAGACCACAAGCATAAGTTCCCAAGAAAGAAAAACCTGCAAAAAGGGAGATGAGGAAGACTGACGCAGGAGGACTGCCTGGAGTTAGAGGCCAACCTGGGCTACATAGTGAGTTCAAGATCAGGCAGGACTACAAGGCAAGAACTTGTCTCCAAAAACCAGGAGAGGGAGAGAGAGGTGGGGAGAGAGAAGGGGGAGGGGGACAGACAGAAACAGAGACAGATAGAGAGACAGAAAGACAGAAACAGAGACAGAGAGAGAGAGGAGGAGGAGGAGGAAGTTGGGAAGCAGGAGGAGGAGGAGGCCCAGCAGCCAGCCAGCCAGCCAAATCCTACTATGGAAAGCTTTAGTCTATCCAAAGAGAAACTGCTGTTGAAAGAAGCTTCAGTCCTTACCGTATAATTGGCTACAAATTGTAGGAGATTTACAATCTCCTACTTCCAATCCCTCAGGTCCAGTCCTGCTCTTCCAAATTCTTTCCCAGGTCTTACAAATATGAAAATGGACCTGCATGCACTGGGACCAGGTCTACACTCTTCACCCAGGGTGTTCCTGCAGGGAGAAAGGCTGCTGGTACATGTCACTCCTTCTCTACAGTTGCTTGCACTTCCAACAGAGAAATATTTCCTCACCTGCCTGAACATTAATCCTGAGACCCAAAGCCAAATTAACTACATCTTCCGTAGTGCTCCATGAGTATGCTAAGCTACTATTAACTGCATTTATAAATTTGGCACCCTAGCAGGGCATGGTGGCACATACCTGTAATCCCAGCACTTGGGAGGCTGAGGCAGGAGGATTGTTGCAAGTTCGAGACCAGCCGAGGCTACACACTGAGTTCAAGGCCAGCCTGAACTGCATAGTGAGACCCTGTCTCAAAAAAGGCACAAAAAAAAAGTTTGGCACCCACTAGGCAAGCACTCTCATAACAGTGTCTCCTTCCTCCCTCCAGCTCCTTGTCAGCTCTCCTGAAGCTGCACTCCCTGGGTAGAAGGGAAAGATCTTCCCCAAGAAGGGCGGACAAAGGCGCAGAGGATCAGCATTCCCTGCCAGAATCTCCAAGCTCTCAAGAAACAAGCTCTCGGGGCTGGGGATTTAGCTCAGCGGCAAAAGCGCCTGCCTGGCAAGCGCAAGGTCATGAGTTCGGTTCCCGGTACCAGAGAAAAACCAAAAAAAAAAAAAAAAAAGAAACAAGCTCTCAAGAAATGCACTCTAGCAGGGTGTGGTGGCACACGCCTGTAATCCCAGCACTCTGGAGGCTGAGGCAGGAGGATCGTTGTGAGTTCGAGACCAGCCTGGGCTACAAAGTGAGACCCTGTCTCAAAAAGACCAAAAAAAAAAAAAAAAAAAAAAAAAAAAAAAAAAAGAAAAGAAAAGAAATGCACTCTAGGGCCAGGGATATAGCTCAGCTGCGTAAGTGCTTGCCTGGCAAGCCTGAGGTCATGACTCTGATTCCCAATACAAAAAAAAAAAAAAAAAAAACGCACTCTAGGCTGGGCATGGTAGCTCAAGCCTGGGCTACACAGTGAGTTCAAGGCAGGGCAGCCTTAACTGCATAGTGAGACCATGTCTTAAAAACAGAAAAAATGGAAGAAAGAAAGGAACAAAGGAAGGAAGGAAGGAAAGAACCAAGGAACAAATAAACTGGGGCGCAGCAGCTCAAGGGAACAGCACAGAGTTCAACCTCCAGTACTTGGGGAAAAAAAAAAAAAAAAGAGGAAAGGAAATGAAATGAAAACCAAACAGGGGGCTGAGGATATAGCTCAGTGGCACAGTGCCTGCCTGGCAAGTGTGAGGTGCTGAGTTCAATCCCCCCCGGTATCCAAAAACAAACCAAACAGGCCCCCAATCAATCAATCACATACCTCAAAAGCCCATTGTACTAGGGCCAAGGATTTAGCTCAGTGGTACTGCACCTGCCTGTCAAGCGCAAAGCCCTGGGTTAGATTCCCTGTACAAAAAAAAAGCCCACTGTACTGTACTCCTTTTAGGCTTTCTCTGGTCAACCTACCCACCTCGTGTATCTTCAAGAATACAGCTCCTTGTATCAAATATACACTTGACATCAATTAATATGCAAGAAAGAATGTGTTTTTTTTGATGTGTTTCTTTTTGTCAGGATGCTCAATAAATAAAAATATAAATGTATAAACATACAAATTATAACAGTAACTATATAACGAGAACACATTATGAGACAGGCATGGTGGAACACACTTGTAATCCCAGCACTGGAGGGGCTGAGGCAGGAGGACTGTTTTGAGTTCCAGGCCAGCCTGGGCTACGAAGTGAGTTCAAGACCACCCTTAACTGCACAGTGAGACCCTGTCTCAAAAAGACAAAACAAACAAAAAAAGAACACATTATGGAGTTACCAAATTAATAAGGCACTCTCCATTCCCCGTCACCTCCCCCAGCCCTTTTCACTAAGTTGTCCACGCTGGCCTTGAACTTCCAATCCTTATACCTTAGCTTCCAGAGTACCCAGGCTTTACTGGCATGCACTCACCCACTATACGCTTGAGACTAAAGTGATCAGCACAGTTTTAATTCCATCATAAGGAAAACTTCTAAAAACCACTAGCCTTCCAGTGTCCTTAGCAAAACTTAAGAGAATATATGTGCCCAACAGGATCATACCAATACATCAATCAACCTTCCTGGTATTTACAGATCAGATAAATCAAGGACCACAACACAGGGACTATGGTAGGTTTTTCTACTCTGTAGTAGAAATCAATCACTATGTACTAAGATGTCGCTGCACAGGAAGTGACCTTCCCATTTATGAAGCCTTTTCAAACCATCTCTCTCTGACATAAAGCCACTACTGGTGCAAAAACAAGTCTTTCCACAGACCACTACCAAAAATAGGCTGCTTTGTTCCTTCCAACACAGGAGGCTCAATATTGAAAATGAATCTAAGGCGGAAAAGTTTCCTATTCCAGAAAATGGATGTTGGGCTGGGAATGTAGCTCAGCAGCCTAAGCGCTTGCCTGGTAAGCCTGAGGTCATGAGTTCGATTCCCAGTATGTATGTATGTATGTATGTATAAATAAATAAATAATTGATAACACTGGGTAACTGGGAACTGGAAAGAAAGCACCCACAAGGACATTGGCAGAAAATGGATGTCATTATCCATCCATAAAGCACCACTCACTCCACAATGTTTTAAATAATGTGATTTAAGAAGTCATGTTCTTGAAGACATTCTACTACCTTTATTTCAAAAACAGAAAATTAAAATACTTTTTCTCAGAGCTGGGCATATAGCTCAGTGGTATGGCACTTGCCTAGTATGTATGAGGCTCCATGAGTGAACTGCTGTATTCAAACCCTATCTTCATTAAAAAAAAAAAAACTTCTATTAGCCTAGAACAGGGTAATGGGGGGGGGGCGTTGGGTTTTACTGGGGATTGAACCCAGGGCCTTTGAAGTGAGCTAAAGCCCAGCCCTTTCTTTTTTTTTTTTTTTTTGGTCTTTTGAGACAGGATCTCACTATGTGGTTCAGGCTGCCTTGAATTCACTTTGTAGCCCAGGCTGGTCTCAAACTCGCAACGATCCTCATGCCTCAGCCTCCCCAGTGCTGGGATTACAGGTGTGCGCCACCACGCCCGTCTTCCAGCCCTTTTATTTTAGGACAGTCTGGCTGAACTTCCCAGGTGGGACTCAAACTTCTGGTGCTCCTGCCCTAGCCTCCCAAACGCTGGGATTACACAGGCATGAACCACGACACTGGCTTTAAGTATTTTTGTATTAAGTAAGGAGCTCAACTCATGTTGTAGCAGCAAGCCAATTCAGTACAGTACTATTTGCTCAATAAAATGAAAGTAGACAAGTTTAAAATGAAAAATGAAGCCGGCCATGGTGGCGTACGCCTGTAATCCCAGCACTCAGGAGGCTGAGGCAGGAGGATCGTTGTGAATTTGAGACCAGCCTGGGCTACAAAGTGAGCTCACACCTGGTCTGAACTGCACAGGGAGACCCTGTCTCAAAAAGACCAGGAAAAAAAAAAAAAAAAAACCTAAACCAATGTGTAAATGACCTATCACTCCTTATCGCACAGCTCTACTAGCACTTTTTATTTCATCTACTATGTCCTAAGATACTAAAACCCAGGAGGTCATCTCTTGTATTACTCAAGGTCAGAGGCCATACTTTAAAATGGCAGTCATCATCTGTTACAGACTTAATGGCCTGACTCCTTTTCCTAAGGGGAAAATGACCCACAGAACAAGAACTCAGCCTCTTGTACTAATGAACTAAAACTGTATGCTCTGTATTTTTCCCAACTTTCTTAAATTCTGACTGTATTAATCAAAGAAGATAATCAGGATATTGACAAATCAGGAAGGCTCATTCACTTGCTCAGTATTTTCTGGGCACCTCAGACATTTCTACCAGAACAAGTGAAAAAGCTCTAGGGATAGCTCAGCGGCACTTGGCAAGCGCAAGGTCTTGAGTTCGATTCCCAGTACAAAAAATAAAATAAAACAAAACGAAACCCACCATGAAGGAATATGCTCTTAAAATGACAGAAGGGATTAAGGAATTACTGTATACCAGCTAAAGTGTGTGTGTGTTCTCAACATAAGTACAAAAGCAATGTTGACATGCCTTTGGAAAAGAATGAATTTTACTGGGCACAAAAACCACATGCTGTGTGAAAAAATCACCCTTCCAAAAACAACTGATTTTTGCAACTGCACTTAAGATTCCTAAAATGCCTGGAGTATTTTAATTTTCAAATAGTTCAACAGTCTCACAGCCAGAAGCAATGACAACTTCATTTAGAATAGCCAGAAAGTCTCTAAATTTTGGGGTAAGGATTTTAACAGAAAAAAACAATTCAAATAAATTATAGCTTCTGAAATAACTACGAGGAATATAAACAAACTGAAACCTTCTCCCCTTTGATATGTACTGCAACCCTAAGAAATGTGAATGCTTTTACTATTTTCCAGAACTCCAATTTCCTCACCTCAGAAAACTCTGAGCTGGGCATTGTGGCACAGACCTGTAACCCACCCCAGCATTTGGGGACGCTGGGGCAGTAGGATTCAAGTTCAAGCCCAGCATGGGCACTTAGCAAGACTTTCTCAACTAAAAACTGGCTGGCAAAGACCCTGGGTTCAATGCCCAGTATAGAAATAAGTAAACTTTTTGCTAGTTGACACATCTGGTAACTCCTTTTCTCCTGCTCTTTCCAATCCTACTTCAGAGTCTCCTTTTCCATCAACTTTGCTTCTCTTCTCATTAACCTTTTTCTTAAGGTTATGTTCTCAAATTCTACCCATCAGAAATTCTACAGCATTTGTTCAGTCTTGCCAAGTGGGTGCCATCCTACTCACTAATGAACCTCTGCTACAAGCCCTTCACCACTAGATGGTGGCCTGGATGAAATTAAATACGGCCCTCACAATCAACGAATTGGGAAAGCAATGTAAAAAGAAAAGAATACTGTTAAAAAACCAAGCAGGAAAGCTAATCATATTCACTTGCTCTACATCAACAGGCATCAAAAATGATTTTAAAGTGCGTGAACAATAAGCCAATGCAGAAGGTGGTCCAGCAGACCAACAGTAAGATGGGAGTTCCCTGCACTTATCATGCTGATTATACTCCAGCAGACAGCAGGGGTAATAATATAACAAGAAAAACAAATTTTTAAAAAACCCTTTTTAAAACTAGAGCCAGGGGCTGGGGATTTACCTCAGTGGCACAGCCTCTGCCTGGCAAGTGCAAGGTCCTCAGTTCGATTCACGGTACAAGAGAAAAAAAAAAAAAAACCTGGAGCCAGAGGCCCGGCGCGAACGGGCACACCTGTAATCTCAGCACTCAGGAGGCTGAGACAGGAGGCTGAGACAGGAGGATCACTGCGAGTTCCAAGCCAGCCTGGGCTACAAAGTGAGCTCAAGGCCAGCCTGAACTGCATAGTGAGATGCTGTCTCAAGAAAACAAAAAACAAAACAAAACAAAAAAACTGGAGCCAGGTGTCGTGGCACACACTTTAATTCCAGCACTCGGGAAACTGAGGCAGAAGGACCCCTGGGAGTTGGAGGCCACTCTCAGCTACACAGTCAGTTCAAGGCCAGCCTGGACTGCATGGCAAGACCCTGTTTCCAAAAAAAAAAAACCTGTAGAAAAATACAAAAGAACCACTGTGCCCTAAACATGGTTTTTGAGTTTGCTAGGTTAAAGATTTTCAACAAAGATTAAAGAGTACAATTGAGTATTTGCTTCAAATTGTCCAAAAAGAAGTCAACACAAGGAAAAAACGATACTACCACTTTAAATAATGGGACTCCTTAAACAGGAAAGCTACTGTGTGCCACTTAGCTGCAGGAATCCGAGTATACAGTGATCTCACATTTATAATTTAGTCTTCCCAAGTATGAAACAAAACTCTCCACCCAGAGCTCCAGTTGTCTACCTGCAGTGAGAAATACTGCCCATATCTATATCTGTGATATAGAGAAGAAAATTAGAAACACTGGTGTCTTAGGGTTCCGGATATAATAAAGTGGTAAAGAGCTTGCCTAGCATGTGTGAGGCCTTGGGTTCAATTCCAAGTACCGTCCCCCAAAAAAGTTTTGAAGAGAGTGCTGAACTCGTATCAGATTCTTCGTAAGCTCAGTGCTCTGAAATCCCCAATTTCCTTTCCTTCCACAGTGCCCCAAAACCACTTCAAAAACGAACTCCTGAAATCTGTTCTACTTCCTGCTAAATCATCCACATGGGCAAACTACAACAAAGGCAACTAAGCCCTAAGTTTTATACTCTGCGTAATTCAAAAAAATTTACTATAGGACACACAAACGCAAGACGGTGCGGGACGCACAGGCGGCTCAGGGCTGCCGGTGGTGGACGAACACGGCCTGGCGCAAACGAAGGTCTCAGAGAGAAGGGAGCAGAACTGGGGGAAATGCACAGCAGTCCTTTCAGACACTGACATGGAAGGTTATTAGAAAAACTGGTTTCAACCCCAAAACAAGTAGCGGTCAAGTTCAGAGGGTCAGCTAAGCTCCTTATCCTTTTTAACTTTTTTTTTTTTAACTTTTCAAACAATTCAATCCGCTGCTTAAAAATCACAGCCGCTGGGCGGGGGTCGCAGCTCGGTGGCAGCGCCGGCGCCGGGTGTGGGAGGCCGAGTCCAAGCCCTAGCACTAGGGGAGGAGAAGGAACCACAAGCCGAGCAGCCGTGTACCCGGCCCGCCGCCGC